TTCTAGGAAGTAAAAGGACTGACAAGTGGAGTGTCACCTTATAGAGCTAGAAGTGACAAGAAATAGAGATTTTGTTGATAGGTAAAAGCTTATTATTCACCTTCTTATATACTGTCTTTTATCCTTTTAAAGTGTCTACTGTTTTTTACAGTTTTCTTGGGAGATTTTGCCTACCTCAGTTTGATTCTAAATTTCTGGTAGTACAATATCACCTGATACCTGATTGGTTGATATAAAACATATTAGTAACTGAATACAAACAAGCTTCTATTGGTCATCTCACGTATTTTAATGATGTCATTGATAATAGAAAGAGTTAATTGATGCACAGTGTCTGATCCACTTCTCCAATTGGGTTAACCTATAGATCAAGTATCATGAGACCAATAAGATATGAGCAACAAGTCCTCAGATAGTAAAAAAGTTGCTATTTGTTCAAGCTGAGATCTTTCTCTCCTATCATTTTGGTTAGGCAAAGTTCAAGACCAAGGTCTCTTTTTTATTTCAGTTAGATAATAAGACTGAACAGTCTCTAGTTCATATTAAGTTTCAATCCTTTGGTTATAGTTGAAAATATATTTTTCCAGAAGTTGTTAAAGGATATCACAATTGACGAGAATTCCTATTACTGCTGAGACCCTCTCACCATTACAAGGCAAAAGGATTATTGGGGTATTTAGCCTTCTGAATAATGGAAGATGTATACTAGTAAAATTTCTTTAATTAGGTATGGCTGCTGGAAGGTATCACACTGAAACAATATGATCTAGTTTTTATTAGATCATATAAAAACTTGAGATTTATTATAAATCGTCTCTTTACCACAGATGGATAAAAAATTACTGCCTAAAGAAGGTTGGAATCAAGTGTATCTTGGAAGTAAATGCTTTTACTAGATAATAAGTCTTTTCAGATGGTACATAAGAAGAAAATCAAGATCAAGAATAGATAAGTTCCTCAGATAGTCAGGAAAAAAAAAATATTTCAATTGGACATTTCTTATTGAGAAGAGGTCTTGAGAAGCAGGTCTTTGAAAGAAGCTGGAAATATTTTTTCAATTTTTACTCTTTCATTTTCTTGTTGTTTACTTAAACATTCTTAGATATCTCTCTCCTCTTTTTCAACCTATCCTTTTGTAGTTTCCTGTATTTCAGCAGCTTGGTTAGATATATGATAGTAATAACCTGTTGGTAATAATGCAGTATACTAGAAGGGTTTTCATTCAAAGACATTGCAAAGTGAAATATTGTCTCCAAGGCTGAACTTAGAGACTTTTATACTTATAGTGAGTTAGTTAAATTAGAATAATAATTTAGCTATAGTATGTATTATACTGCTCAAATAAAAATGTACTTATGTTTTCAATTGATTAATAAACTGATGATCTAGCCTAGCTATGGATACTCAAAAAAAAAAAAATTATTATTAATTTATAAATATAATCTCAATTTAAAAAAATTTATATATAAGTTTATTAATTTTTTTACTTTATTGCTAATGAATAATTATCAAATTTTTAATAAATAGTTGACAAATTTTTGATAAATTATTAATCAATTAATACTGAATTTTTATTAAATTGTTAATAAATAATTTTGTAATAAACTTTTAATGAATTTTTACTGAATTATTAATGAATTATTTGACGAATAGTTAATGAATTTTCTGATAAATTGTTAATATACTGATTTTTGTGATATTTATAGCTAAATTTATATTTGCTAATTTATTTATGTTATTTTTTTGTTGAATTGTTTATTTTTTTATTGAATGTTATATAAATAGCAATATGCTAAATAATTTTTTTTTACTAGTATAACAATTAAAACAATAGGGAGGATAAATAATAACTATTGCTATATAGAAACAGATTAGGCCAAAGGCAAAGGAATAAGTAAAGAAAGAAGTAACAAATCAATCTATTTATGATTATGGACAAAATAATGATTAAATTTTTCTTTTTTTAAAAAAACTTTTTTGCTATAAATAATAAAGATATTTATTTAACTTTTTGAATTATTAAAAGTTAAATTTTTGATTAAAAAAATTAATAAACAAGAAAAAAAATATAAAAATAATTTTTAAAAATTTTTTTTAAAGAAAGTATCAAGATTTTATTAGTCAAAAAGTCAAAAGACTATTCAATAAATATTTTTTTATTTGGTCGGAAAATCCAAAAAAAAAAAAAATTGTTTTTTTATTTAAATACAATTAATAAATTTTATTTATATTTTAAGAATCAATATATTTTATATTAATTAATTACCTTTAATAAAAATTATATTACTTAAAATTTAGAATTAAATTTAGAATAAATAAAATTTTTTAGAAAATCTTAAATAAAAGTTTTAAAAAAGTATATTAAAAAATATAAAATTAAAAATAAGAAACTATAATAAATTATAGTTAAAAAATTTTTTTTAATATTATAGTTTGATAAATTTTTAAAAATAATTTTTTTATTTTATTTAAATAAAAATTTTTTATAAAATAGTATTAATATAAGAGGTATAATAAATAAAATTATATATTAAAATTTTTTAAATATTTATAAAAAAAAATTTTTTTAATAAAAAATTAATAGATGTTTTTAAATAGAAAAAAATATTCAATCAAATATTTTTTTAAAAAAATTAATAACATAATAATAAATTATTCAAAAAACCATATATTATTATTATTATTATTATATATTTATATATTTTAAACTTTCTCTGGGATCCATAATAAGTCATTGTACTTGATACAGGTAAATACAAGATATAAAACTTTCTATATCAATATTATTAGAAAAAAACAAGTTGCAATAGAACATATTGGATAAATAATAACTACCTTATTTCCTATTCAGTAAATGAAAACTGATAACTTGGGTATTATCTTTTCAGAAGATTTTGATATATCTATTTCTTTACTATAAATAAATAATAATATTATTAATTATCAATATTTATTAGATAAAATCCATATATACCCCTCTCTTCTTTTAAAAATTTTTTTCTTTTAACACTAATGGAATTAAGGCTCTACATAAGGGATTTCAACATTGATAGTACTGTGTACCTTAGGTAAATTCTTGGTATATTAGCTTCTCTTCTTAGGGGATAGTGATAAGCTGCTTGATGGACTTGAACTCAATGGATTCAGGACCTAGAGAATGTCATGATATACAGTATTAGATCTAGATATTCAAATTTTGATGTCTAGTTAGTTTGTTATAGTAAAGAGAAATACTTAGACTAGATATCCATATAGTTATTATATCCTGATAGGATGAGATGTAAATAGTTAGCTCTCTATACTATTTATTAATCTGTAAATCCTTAGACAGTATGGATAATTATTCATCTTGGTTATCCTTAAATATGATCTTTATTATAATAAAATATTGCCATAACACATGGATGAACTAACATCTAAAATATATATATATATATATATATCTTAAACTTCTACTTATTCTTTATTTTATTTTTATAATCTAATATTAATAATAATTTAATGGTTAATAAAATAATTAGCATCATATTTTACAACAATAACTATGTATCTAAATTATATATTTTCTTTTATATGTTTTATACACTTCTTATTATAGATCTCATACAAGAAAAAATATTATTCTTCCAATTGAACTTAAAATATATCAGAATTTTTAATAAAGTTAATTAATAAAGGTATCAATAATAAGTCAATCATATTGTAAATGTCTTTAATATCCTATAATTCTAAGTTTTCTATAATTAAAAAAGGTAAATATTCCAGTATGACCTGATTAGCAAGTTAAAATAAATAATAATCGATAGATAAATAAAAATTGAAAAAAATTTTATTATATAAAAATTAATACGTTTAATATGCCCGCCAAAGTAGAATCATGAAATATAATAAAATAGAAATACAAACTAACAATTTACCAAAGAATGCACATTTAAGGTAATATAGCCAAGCAAATTACTTGTACTATTATGATCTCAAGAAAAATTTCATTTATTCAACGAAATGAAACAATTTTGCATACAGGTACAAAATTTATTAAAAATAGGGGCAAATATAGAAAATATAGAAAGACATCAATCAGGAAATAAAAAAGTAATGTTATTCTATCCTACTCATTTTTCTCGGAAATAGCGTATCCCCTTATAGTCTAATCATACCATAATCAGAAGGGTTATGATAAACGCATACCTATGGTCAATGAGCAGAAGTGACTTTTAAACATTTTACAAAGGGAAATGTGTTAATCACATTATGCGAGAGATCCAAAGGTATTTTCTCCCGAATATCTGCATTAACGACAATTTTTGTTAATATAAATAAAGTTGGTATAAAATCGCAATATTTTAATTATGATTACTTACGTTATATACAAGAAACCATCTTCATCCTTACGTTCATCATAGATACTCGACATAAGAGCAGCGGTAGGTGGCAGGACCTCATCCACAAAGATGAATATTGCCTTCTCGGGGCTCAATTTAATTCTCTTACGGATCACATAAACAAACTGCCCAACTGTGAGATCAGCTGGAACAAGATATTTCTTTTTATCGATGGTTGCAATGTCTGATTTTTCAACTTTTTCACAAATGACCTAATAATACAAAGGATATAAAAAAATTTATATTACAGAACTGTCTATAAACTTTTTTTCTTCTATGACACAATTAATAGATTTTATCTTACCGGAATTCTATCAGGATATTTCTGTCTAATTCTTTCAGCCTCGGCTTTGCGTTTCTCTAAAATACAAGAATGAGCGGAAATAAGTTTGGTGAAACAAAATAAAAAGTTGACAGATGAAGATTACCAAAGGGATGCTCGTCCTTGAATTTCGACCTCATTGTTTGCTAGTTGAGATTAGAACCGTGAAAAAAAGTAGTCAAAATTTCGAAAGTGTAGAGAATATCAAAAGAAAAAATGTTAAAGCCTTGAGGTCAGAGACGGATAAAAGGTTTATTATATACAAAACTTCTGATGCAAAGTTTGTTTTTGCCGAGTCATACGAATTGACGTAATCCTGTAGCTGCGGTCTTGTGATTTACTTTGCTAAGCTTGCGTAATATCGCCTCTTCTGGCAGAAATGACACATCCCGTTACACAATAATTATTTTAATAAAGCGCTATGCCATATTAGTACTACATTCCTTACATCAAGGAACAATAATCGCAAACATGTCGCAGTTATTTAATTAAATGATCTAAAAAAAAATTTTTTTTTATTATAGTAATGTTAATTTTCTTTTGACATATACAGTGTGATTTATAATCAATTTTCAATAAATAAAATTGATGAACTTTTTTCAAATGAGGGTTTTTTTTTTTTTTTTAACCCGCAATCATGTCACAATGACATGTCTTTATTGAGATATTGAGAAATACCTAAATATTTTATAGACTTTCACAAAGCAATTAACTCGTCATTGTACATTATTGGTTAAAGGACTACACTACTTAAAAAATATGAGAAGTCCACTAAACTAATTCAAACTAAACAAAATTAAGTCTAAACTAGGTACTCTAAGTTAGATTTAGGAGACAATATTTCACTCTCCTAGTAGCTTGACAATAGTGCCTCTAAGTCTATCAGGATTATTGCCAACAGTTTGTCATTATAGATTATCCCAAAAAATGATGAATTGCTAAAGTTGGCACTGAGAGAAGGGAAAAGGGAAATGCAAATCAAAACCCTCCAAAAGGTTCTTACTTCATTTCACAGTTTCCTCTCGAAAGAGGTTTGCTTGATTGAAATATTCTCTGAACTTCATGACATTTGAGAAACTTAGTCATTCCTGAAAGTGACTTCAAGAAGAATGTTTGAGGAACTTATCCTTCTTCCAATGTATAGATTCGCTTATCATTGTTGAGACCAGCGTCATATTATGGAAGAGTTTGACTGAACGGGATAGAAAAATCTTTTCAAGAATTTTACCTGATCGGGATAGAAGTTTGGAGACCTCAGCTTTTATCCAAGAAAGTCTTTTCACCACCTGAGGAACTTAATGAGAAATGGAAGTTAAATCTTCTTTTCGTATCCAGTACTCACCTTTCGGTATCATAATTGTTTCCTGAAGGTTGAACATATATGATTGGAGGTAACACTTTTTCTAGAACTTTCTTTCCTATGTCACCAATGACATCATCGGAACACGTGAGGTGATTAGTAGGTACTTGTTTACATTCAGCTACTAATGTGTTTCATGTCCACCAATCATATTTTGCAATAGATTGTGTCACCTAAAATTCAGGGTCAAACTAAGGTAGGCAAAATTCCCCAGAAAATTAAAAAAAAATTTTGGGTGACTATAAGAGAGAAGAAACAGTGAGCAGATACTTTGAAATATGGCTTGATGTTTACCATCTCCTACTGCAGAAAACCTCTATAGACATACTTCAATATGAAAGGCTTCAAGTACTACACTATTAGTTTTTCTTTCTTTCAGAACTTTCTTGTCATAGATAAAGAAGGCGTTTCTTGACTTTTCTAGATCACAGGAAGCCAAGTTTTTGTTTGAAACTGAATATAAACAAGAGGAAGGGTTTGGGAGTATCTCTTAAAGTAAAACTTTAAGTTGGTTTAAGGATAGTGTTAAGA